TGAAGTTGGATTTTTTTGCTTCTGGAACTGGATAATAATTGACATCAATAATTTTATCCAAATTATAGGTGACAATTTTCGTCACCTTTCGAAGTTTTTCAAAATCAAAAGTTTTATTAGCAGGATTTACAAACATATTCACAGCAATTGAAGCCAAATTGCATACAGCAATTTCATCTGGACTGGAGTACTGTACAATTTCTGTGCATAAATTGCTACACTTGATTGTTCCTATATTTTGATGATTTGATTTACGATTGCAGTGATCTTTATAAAGCATGTAAGGAGTTCCTGTTTCAACTTGGGCCATAAGAATAGCTGTCCACAAGTCTCTGGCTTGAACTTGACGTTTATATCTTTTTTCGTTTTCATACCTAATAAAGTATATTACAAATGTATAAAAGATATTTAACCCTTTTAGCACATTTTATTATTTGTGGTAGCATCGCGTTAGCTGACCGGGATAATATCTGACCAGCTATCAAGGGAAGTAAAGTTCTAGAAAATCCTGAGTCGTTGTTTATTTTAAATACGTAGTATCAGAGGCTCACTTTATGCAGCCAATTCCAAGAACTGGTGAGGATAGTAGCGGTTAGCTAACAAGGTAAAATCCACGCCAACAAACGCGGTACTACTGTATAATGTAATTTACCTTGTGTAAAGTGCTTCAAATTCATCACCCCAAACATCATCTAAACCAGGAGATTCGTGTGGGCACATTAAAGTCCAAATACCATTTTCCAAAACTCGTTTCATAAAAAGATCAGGAATCCATAAAGCATAGAATAATTCTCTTGCTCTATTTTCTTCTTTACCTGTTATTCATGATTAAATAATAAAAAATATAAAAAGTATTAAAAATGAAAGTAACTAACCAGTAGTTTACCAGTATTTTTTTTAAGGTCCAAAAATTCAAAAATGTCTGCATGCCATGGTTCTAAATATAGGGCAAATGCTCCTGGTCTTTTATTCCCTCCTTGATCAACATATCGAGCAGTATTATTATATACTCTAATCATTGGAACTAAACCATTAGATACACCAAATGTACCACCTATTGGTGTACCTTTTGCTCGAATACAATGTATGTTAAGTCCAATACCACCAGCAGATTTGCTAATTAGTGCACATCTCTTTAATGTATCATAAATTCCTTCAATGCTATCTGAACTCATTGTTAGTAGAAAACAACTGCAAAAAATAAGATAAGAGATAAAAAATAAGTTTGCTATTCAGAAAAGGGATAAAGTATAAGTATGATTTCAGAAAATATACCTAGACATTTGCTGTTGCTTAGTACATGCAGCAAAAAGAGTTGGTGAAGCATGTGTAAAATAACGTTCTGATAAGAAATTATATGTTTCTATAGCTCTGTCAATATCATCACCATGGATAGCAACTGCAACTCTCATTAACATGTGCTGTGGCCTCTCAACAACTTTTCCATATATCTTTAATAAATAGCTTCTTTCAAGTGTTTTGAAACCAAAATAATTGTAACTGAAATCTCTATCATAAATTATTGCAGAATTTAACCTATTTGCATTCTTTTTAATGATACTGTAATATTCCTCACTAATAACAGGTATTGATTGATTTGAAAAATTCTCTTTTACACGATACAAATCATGCATCACTTCTATAAATGAAATGAAACAATTAAAATGAAAGTAAAACATTAAATTAGTTTACAGTAAAAGAACATGTGTTAAATGTATCTAATATCATACCACTAAAGGTTTTCTTCGTTTCTTTGTGAAGATTGGAGATTGCAATTCTTGCTGCTAATACAGCATAATCTGGATGTTTGGTAGTCATACTTGCTGCAGTTTCAGCTGCAAGATTATCTAACTCAACTGTGGTAACACCTGAGTATATACCACCGATAACACGAAATGTAATTGCAGACTAAAATAAAACATAGAAATTTGAAAATATAATTATTCCTTTTAATATTAGAAATTACTTTTATTCTATAGTGTTAGTGGTAAAATAAACCCTTCTTTTTTTAATAAGAAAATAGCAAAAAAAGAGTTGTTACTTTATGTAATATGATAAATGTTACAATTAATTGTCACTAAAGTATAATAATGAATAATTTAATAATATGTAAACTTACAGGATCCACGTAATCCATATCTAAATTGTAACATAATTTTTGAATTCTGGATGTTATTTTATCAAAGTGAACATCTTCTTTGCGTCCATCTAACAATAATAACAATTGATTTTATGTCAACAAATTACATGTGCAATCAGATAAATTTAAATTATTCAAAGTAAGGATACAGATATTATAACTTACCACGTTTTATTACATACATCTTACCCATTCCACCCATTTTTAAATCACAATAATATATCTTATAATTCTGTAAAGATACTACGTTCCAGTAGTCGTTTGGTAGGGCTTAGTAGGGCTTTTGACGCGAAACGGAAGTGAAACTGTTCATGCCACGTGAGATACAAACTATAGCAACTCGTAGTTTGAATATAAAACTTAAAAGACCATTTCTCAATTGTTGAAGACTATATTATATTAATGATAAATAATTATGTGCTTATGAATTTTTCTGCTTTAATGAAATGATTGTTAATAAAATAAAATAAAATATCTTTTGCTATCCTTCGTAATGAAGTAAGCAAACAATAATTTTATGGCCACGAAATTATAGTATTTATCTAGAAGGGTGAGTTTACAAAATATTTCCAGTTATTATTGTTCCATAATCCATTTCCAGAATTAATTATTCTAATGATTATTCTAGTTTCTTTTCGACTTTATAACTGTTGTACATTCTGTGCCCTTTCTTTGTAAATTATAATTTGTGGATATTTTGATACTTAGCAGAGACAAATTTGTTCAATCGAATTTAATACAGTTACAATAAATTGTTTATTAACGAAATCAATATACAAATGTATCCTACTTTCGAACAAATTGATAGTGTACACCCTCAGCTAAAAGTTTAGAACAGCTAGACAATTCAACGAAAAAACATGATATGAAGAAAAACTTCGTCACTTATAGAAATATTTATTATTAAAATTTATCGACACAAATTGAGTATTCGGATAATTAGAATAGTGGTTCCGAACATATTTTTCACAAGTACTATGTATGTTCTCGGTTCTTATAAAAGTGATTCATGTCTAAAAGTCTAAAAGAATAGAATTAGAAAACTTATTATACGTTACATCGATCTGTGCTACAACAAATATGAAACTACATTTGAATCGTAGTTATCAAATTTCATTGTTTGATAACATTGCGAACAATTAACCCCGTCTAAATACGTAATAAAAGTGAAAATGGAAATATCTTCGAACAAAAATATATATAATCTTAGGCTACTTTCATAATCGTCCGCACATGTCTACTATTACGAAGTCAAGATCAAGTGTAGTTCACTGTATTTTAAATGTACTCGTCAAAGAAGGGAGCAATTCGCGGCCATCGGTGTGGTCAATCAGTTATTAGCGAACTCGGGGCTCTCTCACTATTCACATAGTGCACCTAAATATAGAATGACACTGTGGCACTAATTTGTTGAATGAAACGATAGGTGTGTTGGTGCTTGGGGGACTGAACGCTATTGTGGGGTAGATCTGTAGGGCGCAGTAGAAATCTCAGCGCTCGTCGTTTGTGAGCGCGATTTCTGAACGTAACGACGCGGTCCAACACACGAGACACTCTATAAATCCTTTTCACCTACGACGGTTTACGCGGCTGTTATCGATATTATCAGTCCAGTGGAAATCTCGTTCAAGTCTGCTCTGTGAAATTGTGCACGTACGTACATTGTTTCAATTGTATTGGCGAAAGAAAAGTATCCTTTTCCGTCAGCGATATTACGGCTGTTAATAGAGTGTCAGATTCTACTTAATCAGTGGTCACGTTATGTCTACGATAAAAGTTATTCCACTCCTCGACTAAAAAAAAAAAAACGCTTTCGAATAACCATTTTTTTTTCTATCTTATTTCTTTCTCGTTTAACGTGTTAAGGTGAGAATTTTTGACAACGGTCAATTTGCTAGAAGAAAACGAGAATGTACGTTTCTTTTTTTTTTAATTTCTTCGAAAAAAGAATTAATATTTAATTTTCTATTCTTTTTCTCTTTTTTCTTTTTAATTAAAATCAACGAATTTATCATTTGTTTTATATACATATTAATCTGTTTATTCGAAGTTTAGGATAAAAATGATCGTCGCCTTATATTTATGCATACATATAGACATTAATGATATACGCCATAATTTATCAAAAATTGTACAATGTTTATTGTTTTATCTTTATATTGACGTGATCGTTGGAAATGATAGTAACATCGGCTGAAAATGTCCTAAAGATTAATTTATCTTCGTTGGTTCAAGTCAGTCAGTATACAATTGAGCTTATTACACAATTGAAGTGTAGAAGTTGTAAATTGTTTTATACCGGTGGATAGTGTCATTAAAAGGACATTGCACCCATGAATTCGTTAATGATCCTCGTTGCAATCGTTTGTTTACACTTGGAAATACACGCTGACGTGTATTACCAACTTTTTCTTCTCGTTCCCTCTTTTTTTTTCTTTTTTCTTTTTTCCTTCGTTGTTACCATGATGACAATTTACCAAATGCAGATTAAGCACTTAAGATGGAACATGACAGAATTACGGATGAATAATTTTCTACCTCCCACTTGGCGAATTGGAAATTTAAATCGCCACGATTTTATTGTACCGAGACGTTCGCCGATCGTCTCTTCGTTATTCCACGTGACGATCTCCGATGACATCGTTTCTTTCATCGACGATTAATCCCCCGTAGGCAACCAGAATTTCTCACACTTCGTAGGCAAACCGGGTCGTTCGTGTCGAAATTTACTTCTTTTCCACTGTTTCAAGCTTTGAAAAAAAAAATCTGAAAAAATTCTGGAGCATTCATCGAAGTCTCTACTATATTGTACAATTGTTCGTCAAGTGGAAATGTTTCGAACTTTTCTCAACAATCGAAGAAATACAGGAGTGAAATTTCGCTCGAGTCGTTAATGACCCAGAAAAGATTTCTTCGCACTCCGGTCTAATTTTTTTACTGTTCCAGGCTTTAAAAAAATCTGAAAAAATTCTGGAGTATTCATCGAAGTCTCTGCTATATTGTACAATTGTTCGTCAAGTGGAAATGTTTCGAACTTTTCTCAACAATCCAAGGAATACAGGAGTGAAATTTCGCTCGTGTCGTTAATGACCCAGAAAAGATTTCTTCGCACTCCGGTCTAATTTTTTTACTGTTGTAGGCTTTGAAAGAACCTGAAAAAATTCTGGAGTATTCGTCGAAGTCTCTACTACATTGTACAATTGTTCGTCAAGTGGAAATGTTTGAAACTTTTGCTAATAAAAATTCGTTTCGAAGAAATACAAGAGTGAAATTTCACTTGGGTCGTCAAAGACCCAGATTGCCTACGGAGGGTTAATATAAAATGGGACAAGGTTGCCCGATGGGAACAACGTTTGACAAACGTGATTCCCGGAAGTGGCTCGTTGTCCGTCATCCATCATCATCAAGACCCTTATGGAGAAGTGTCTCACGTAACGACGATGACCGCTGAATATTCGAAGTTCTTTAAAAATGATCGCGTCATCTTTCACTCATTGCTCATTATAGATTCATTTAACGTTCAATGTTCCGCTAAATCGTGAAGATTTTACAACGAATTGGAAACTCTTTGTTCTCAAATGAAAGCCAAGATCTAGTCCAAAGCGTTCGGTTGTTCGTTCGAAGAACCAAATTTACAGAAACTTCATTTTCTACAGCTTCTTCTTCTTCTTCTTCTTCTTCTTCTTCTTCGAGAGAGAGAGAGAGAGAGAGAGAGAGAGAAATAAATGTTTTTTCTTTACTTCTTTTTTTATTTTTACAGATTTAACAAAAACTTTTGATAGGATGAGGTGAATTGGAACGATTTTGTATTTCGGGACCAAAAAATAATGCCTTCGAGTGGATCGTCTAAAGTGTCTAAGGTAGACAGGTCCACAAGTCCTCTGCCACGTAAGCCGGTGAATCCTGTCCAAGAA